TATTTTTTTTTAAAGGTAGAGGGAAAGGAAGTTTTAGTTTTCAGGTAGCTAGTAAGTTAAATGAAGCAGAAGTTGGGGAGGGGTATCAGTAAAGATACAGTATTTGTTTTTAAAGTACTATATAAAGCTAGGTGTGGTTGCTCCTGCCTGTAATTATAGTATTCATGAGGCTGAGGAAGGATTTTTCCAGTCCAGCCTAGGCTATATTATATATGAGATCCTTTCTTAAACAAAATAGCACCAGATAGCCAGCATATTTGTATCTTTTGTTAATATATATATATATATTAACATATATATATATATGATCATTCGTATAACAAATCAGTTTGATATGTTCTTAAAACTAGAGGGCATGAAATGTATAGTAGTGGGAAGTTCCCTCAGTAGAGATTATCCACAAATCCACAAAAGAGGCTTGTTGCATGCATGAAATGTTAAATGGCCGTAAGACAAGGTGTTGACATCTTACCACTTCAGTCAGTCGCTTAATCAGCCAACACCACAGATGTCAGCAAGGCTGGAAGACTTCAAATAGAACTGCTTATTTATCCATGATCTGCCAGTGCATAGACATCCCCTCCCAAGGGAGTACATGTAGACTTCTGTTGCAGCAGACAAATGAAGTTAAGCTACTTGAGCATGCAGGATAGATTAGTTTTTCTACTTGTCTCTGAGTCTCACTCAAAAAAGTGCTTATGGCTTTTTACAAAGTAGCTTTATTTCTTTTTTGCACCTTTTAATGGACAGTGCCTTGAAATAAATGAAATAAGAATATTCTGATACTCTTCCAATATCATAGAGCTGTGCAAGGAGTAACCCCAGTTTGAAATTTTCTAAAGCAGGTGATTAATTGCACACTAAAGATGAGGATTTATTAGTTTTGTCACTTGAATTATAGTTTGGAGTTGGTGTTTGAGACCTCTATAGTGTATGTAGCTGAAGAATAGTGTCTTGGAGGTCAGGCCTGTGAACCTGAGGTGGGCAGTGTGATGTCTTTATTTTCTCCTGTGCTATTAGTTTTAGAGAGGAGGAATCAGGGTTCCAGAAGGACTCTTACATGTTCCATGATAAAGACACTGATGTCATCAAGAGAATGAAATGGGATTCCCTTACAGGTTGTTGCTGTCCAGTCTCAGAATGAACAAAAGACCAAATTCCAGTGTCAAGTGAACAGAGTGGTCTGTGCACACCCCTGCATCTGAACACACTGAGTTGTGTGCAGTGGACGGCATGCACGGTTCCAGTCTGATGGCCAGCCTTCACTCACTGTTGCTTTGTTAACGTGTTTTCTTCTGACACCATGTGCATTTTTTTGTTGTTTCACACGTGTTGCTTTTTTGTGATGCTTAGTAAGCTGGTTTGGCAGCAATAGATGTGTAGAATCTGTATAAATCCTTAGCTTACTAGAGTACTCATGTGCATACTTATCTGTAATTCTTCATTCGGGCATTTGTGACCCAGCCACACATCTGAGAAGTACAGATGGGTAGCTTCTGGCTTCTTGCTGCGATTTGTTAGTACAAGTTTTCATGTTTTTCCCAGAATGGTTGTCTGAAAGCTCCGCCCCCACCCCCATTTCCCTGGGGGAAATGCAAGTCAGTGTAGAATTGAAAGCGTAGGAAGATGTATCTGCACTCTGGTTTTGCTGTCCCCACTTCAGCAGTGTTTACCTTATTACAAGAAAGCTTCCAGACATCAGAAATACAAGCACTACCATGCCTCAGCATAGTGCCAGTCCACCCAGCTGACAGCTGCAGCATTCCTGGACCTCAGGATGAGATGGCTGTGGGTGCACTGTGCAGTGTGCAGTGGCTTCCACGCTGCTGGCCAGTGTGGACCTCTCCATGGCCGTTTTCTCAATCAGGCTTGAGGGAAATGCAGGGAAAAGAAGCCTCCAAGGGCACCAAGCAGCACACTGCAGAAGCATCCTGCACTGGGTGGTGGGTGTGACTGTATACAGGAAAGGGCCTTTACCATCCCTGGGCCCTTCATGGCAGTGCCATGATGTGGCACTCTTGACCATCGCTCACAGTTCCCTCATGCTTCCAGAGAATGATGCTAAACTTCCCAGTGGCAGAGATCTCTTCTTGTATGCTTGAATGTGAACTCTTGCATGTTGAATCTGTGGAATTTGGGAGACCATCTGCCTATCATGAATGCTTTCCCTCAATTTTGGAATGCCATCCTGACTTGAGACTTTATACTTATATGAAAGAACACAAAATTTAGCCCCTGGTGTCATTACCTGTTACGGACTCTGACACAGTTCTGTGTTCTATGGGTAATATGTCCTAAAATAGTCTGCCTGTTCTGGAAGCAGAATATCTCCAGTGGTATTAAGTCCTGAGCAACTACCCATCAATGGGGTTACATGTAAATCTGGTAGACTGGTAGGGCAGGAATGTGTGGCCTCAGGCGGGTATGGTTGTTTAAAGGGTTGTGGAAGTCTGCTGTATCTGAATCTCATTCATGCCCTTAGATGAAGACCAAGTTAAGGGCCCAGTGTGACCCTAATACAGAAGAAAACTGCAGAACTGTTTGTGCCTAACTGTAATCAAGAGATATGACTACAGGATGCTGCCTGTATATAACTTTTTTTTTCCTTTAGATTTTTAAAAATGTTATGTGGATGAGTGTTCTGCCTAGATGTATATTCATGCACCATATATGTGCCTAGTGCCCACAGAAGTCAGAAGAGTGTATCGGATCCCTTGGAATTGGAATTATGGACAGTTGTGAGCTATAATGTGGGTTCTAGAAATCAAACTCAGGTCCTCTGTCAGAAGAAGGGCTCTCAATCACTGAGCCATCTCTCCAGCCATTTGCATGTGAATTCAAGGGAGTTCTTTCTTAGATGCAGGTCCTGATGAAATTTCTTTTGCCTGGCTTCTCTGAAAGTTTGATGGAGACTCTGGATTGGAGGCTTTTGGAAGATAGCTACTACACTATATCCTTACTACACTACTATAGTGCATGTGATTGTCCACTTCCTGAATCTACTATGCCATGCATGACTGCCAGTCTCCTAAAGCGGGACCTGCAATGCCTGGTAGATAGGCTCTAAACAGCTCTGACTTCCCCTTTCCTGTAAACATCTACAGGTTTCACCCATATGTATGCACACATGTACACACAGGAATTATCCCTCTCATAGGTCAGATATCTGACAACCTCCCCCAGCTGGTTCTCAAAAGTAAAACAGGCTGTCCTGTCACCTGGAACTGGTGTGAAGAGAGTGAGAGAGTAGTGGGGCGGTGGCTGTGTTTCTCAGCACTTTTGGTGTTTACAAGGTTCAGCTGAAGGCACCCAAAAAAGAGCTGTGCCAGAGCCCCAGAGATAATTTTGTGAATGGAACTGGCCACGCACAAGCATCTTTGGTCATCATGATGTCCACCGTCTGGCTTCCGGCAGACTCAGACAAGGCTGCTTGAACTCTTCTCTACCATGTGCACATTTGGCTTAGAAGGTGGATACAAATTATGTTCAGTACCAAAAGCTTTTTTTCTTCTTTTCAGATCTTAACTTTGTAGCCCAGTCTGGCTACATCTGTGCTGCAGGCATGCAACACTACATCTGGCTCCTGAAGTCTGGTAGCTGGAGAGCTCTGCAGCTACAAAGTCTTATTTGTTACATATGCCTGTCACTAATGGAGTAAAATCTAATTCTTCAGTCTGGTTTATTTGGACTTCTCACCTTTGAACTGTGTGTGTTGGGTTACAGAAGAGGCAGGGATTAAGTGGAGTCTTGGAGGCTTAGGCCCAGGGTAGTGTCTGGGAGTTGCTTTTATTCATGAACGCAGTCATCTGGACCCAGACTGCCTTCTCAGTAGAAATAAGCAAAGATCTAAGAAGGCCAGGATGACAGTATAAGCGGCAAGGAGTGAGTCTCTCACCCCCAGGGACCGTGCCATGGCCCCCGTGCCAGGTTTGTATAACAGAACATGCTGACATGGGGCAGGCAGATGCACTCAAAAGGCACAGCCATTGCTCCAGAGCAAGAAGCCTGTGCTTGGTGGACTATGACAGATGTTACCTACCTAATGTCTCCACATGGAATTTTCCAACTTGAACTGCAAAGATGGCTTTGTCAGTTGGGTGTAGGGCAGCTCATAGTATCAACTAGAGAATGTCCACCCCAGCTACTGCCAACTTCTGGTGTTGCTCACCTCCCAGCTAGATGTGATCTTTCAGGCAATTCTGGCTGTACCCATGCCTTCTGCTTTAGTGACTGGGAGCCTGGGGAGGAATGCCCCCCCCCCCAGGCATTACCTTGGCTACTCAACTATTCACATGGCAGCCGGGGTATCCCAACACTGAGGGGTTGGGGACTCTGTCTTTAAAATTTGGTAGTGAAGTCTCCATGCCGGGCGTTGGTGGCGCACGCCTTTAATCCCAGCACTCGGGAGGCAGAGCCAGGCGGATCTCTGTGAGTTAGAGGCCAGCCTGGGCTACCAAGTGAGCTCCAGGAAAGGCGCAAAACTACGCAGAGAAACCCTGTCTCGAAAAAAAAAAAAAAAAAAAAAAAAAGAAGAAGTCTCCCCTGTACCTTGGCCTCACCTGCCCTGTTAACTCTGGCAGGGTAGCTATCCACTCTGTTGTTGAGGCTCTGGCCTGATATGTATCAAACACCCTGTGGCTACTCCTGCAGACCTCATGTATCTTACAGGTCCCTCCTCCATTCAACCTACTTAAGGTAGCATCCCTTCTCTACTTTTGTTCACTTGTCCCCAGAACAGTGACACCCCTCAAGAAGAAATGCTAAACAGCTGCCCTGCTCTGTGATTCTGGATCTTTCATATACAGTTTCTGAAGAGAGTCACATAATAAAATGGATAACTAGAAGAGAACATACTTACTAGTACTGTACACTTAACATACAATCCCTGGGCTGCTAGGGAAGCAAGCCTTTCTCTTCCATCATCTTTGTGTCCTACTGGATAACTGATGTAGATGGAAGACTGACCTTACTTTTATTAGGTCCTGATTGTTTTCCCCAGTACTGGAGATTGAATCCAGGGCCTCACATATGCTGGGCACACTCAGGTCCTAATATTTTTTTAATACGTATGTATACTATAGTGAAGACCTGTTGTGAGCTGGGCTGTTGAAGGCTCATAAGGCATTGTGTGGAGGGTGGAGAGAAAGTGGAACTTCTGAGTGCAATGGGAAACCTTTAGTGGGTGTGTCCCAGTTTGCCTGCAGCTGTGTGGGGGAGGGGTTTATTTAGGATAGCTGGAAATAAAGGAGGGATGAGCCAGTATAAGGAAGGAGCCCCAGAAGCCTGCAGGTGAGGTGTAGCTGGGACCCACCTTAGTGCCTAACCGGTGGTCATTGCTCAAATCCTTTGCCCAGGATTTCAAGGCCAGTGACCACCTTCACTGCCCCTAGTGCTATCACCAGCTCAGTTCTCCCAAAGATCCATTTTTAAAGTTGACTGCCCTAAAGTTTTACTGTCTTTGCATTTGGTTATGGATTGATCCCTGGCTTTTACTAGACCGTTTCACAGCCGGATGAGGTCTTTCATCCCTATCTCCCAGGACTTTGTAGCAAGGACCAGAGACCCCCATACGTACTGCTCTGAAAGTTACTGCTGGCAGGTCTGGGACCACAATTCCCCAGGGAATTCTCTTCCCCAGCCGGAAGTCCCAGTGGCAAGCCTGGGGCTGTGGAGCTGGAAGGTCCCTGGCCCTGCCTCCCCAGACATTAGTAGGGCGGGACTCAATTCCGGGGGCGACACGTCCTAGGAGAGCTAGACGGAAGCACTGGGACTGACACGTGGACTTGGGCGGTGCTGCCCTGTGGGTTGGCCTAGGCCTGAGGGGAGGGCACGGTACTGGGACACAGCGGTGCCCATGCCATCTCAGCGCTCCAGCCTGATGCAGTCAACACCAGAGGAAGCCGGCAAGACCCCATCTGCAGCAGCAGAGGATACACAATGGTCCAGGTGAATGGGGATGTGGGTGGTGCCGGGGCAGGGAGGACATTTACATTTAGGGAGACGCAACTTTACGGGACCAGAGTGCAGAGAGCACCAGACTCTAGGGGCGCCTCCTAGGCTCTCTGTATGTAACCTGCCACCTTCACTTCTGGAACTGGCATGCTCCTCTTAGCTGCCCAAGAAGAGGGAGAACGCAGATGCTCAACCAAGTAAAGGGACCCTCCTCTTCTAATCAAATACCAAAATCTGGCAAATGGCTCCTTCGCCCTTCTCCCTGCCAGTATTCTGAGGTCTGGGACACTTGATGGACGCACTGGGCTAGACAGATGCTCCCAGCCTAGGGATCCAAGCAGCACCTCTGTGTCAGAGAGGCAGGTCCTGAGTTCACAAGGCTTCTCAACTAAGAAGGGAAACAGCAGTTACCATCCATACTCATTCATACTCCATTCCCACCTTTTCCACTGCCCTCCAAACAAGTAGCCCCACAGAAACCAGGTACAAGAAGGTGGCATCTGGCTACAGGACCACTGTGAGAGGGTTCAAATGGGAGCCCAGAAAAGGAGATTCAGAGTACAAAAAATCTCACACCCTGCTCCGGTTCCTGAGGCCCTCAGATGGAGGTGCTGGACCCAGGGCCCAGAGTCAAGCCTTGGTACCTCCCAGTCACCTCAGGCAAGAGCCCTGGATCTCCTGGGAGGAATTTCAAGGTCCTCCTAGAGCAGCTGAAAGGCACAGCAGGAGGTTATGGAGAGGCACCAAACCAGATCTCATCCCTGCCAGTAACAATTCGGGGAGGGCCTGAAGAGGAGCATTGTGTGCCTGCTCTCACTAGCTCTCTCTCTCTGCTCTCTGGCTTGCTACCTCCCACCCTACCCCATGTTTATCCCAATGACTCTGCCTCACCTGGGCCCTGGAGGCACCACTGTGGGCTTTCTGAGAACTCTGAACTGTTCTGCCAATTTTGCTGTAGGTTACAATTTAATGGCTCTGCTTGGCCCTTGTCTTTACTGCTCTCCCTGTGTGCATGCTCCAGTCACCTTTGGCAGAGGTGGTGGCTGAGAATTCTGGGGGATTTTGCAGGGTCAAGGTCACTCTCAACTCATGTGGGGGTAACAGTAACAGCAATAAGTATTCTGTCTGCCTCCCATCTCTTCCAGTCCTCTTTGTGACTTGGAAGGCAATGCTCTCCTCAGCAAATTTTGGGATATGGGGAGGTTGGTGGAGGCTGAGTTAGGGAGATATAGCACCAGGGTACACTATGGTCTGTCTGGTGCTCTGGCCACTGGAGCCAGCACATTTCCCCTTTCTGAACTAAGGGCCATGTGACCACCTGTTTGCTCAACCCCGGATGTTCTGCACAGGCCATCTACAGGAAGCCAAGGCTGCAGAAGTCTGGGAGGAAGTATCATGCCTGTTGAGAGTGCCAGCCTGAGCTCTGGCTCCAATCGGGCAGGTGGAGCTTTTCAGGCAATCCTGACCCAAGCTCCTGGTCCTAAAGAGCTCTCAGCAAGATGAGGGATCTTGGACCTGAAGTTCTAACTAGTCCTCAGCAGCTGGCCTGGTAGGACCCCACCAGGAGGACTTTGATGTTGCCTAGGTTTTTTCTGACCTCTCATCGCCATCAGGAAGCTAGAGACACCTCTCATTTGGAAGGTGTGGGTCTAACTGGCTTCCTGCTTCTAACTAGTTTCTAGCAATAACAGGGCTGGGCAATCATAGGTGCACCTAGGGAAGAGTAGCATATTGGGTGGGTCTCTCTTGAACACAAGTGACTCTGACTTTAGTCACATAAAGGAATAAAGCTCCTCTTGAAAGACACCTTTGGATTGTGTGGGTGAGTTAGTGTTGCTCCTGTGCTCCTGCTGTGATCCTTGTGCCTCCAGTCAGCTGAAACAAGCCACCTATGCTGCATATAGAATCCTCACCTAGGAGTGGGCTTCCACAAGCGGGACAACACTTTAGGGCAAGCAGGACACTTTCCAGGGCAGCGTTAATGCTTGACTGGTCACCTGTGTTTTCAATAATCCAGTAGCAATGTTTGCTCAGGACGTGACAAGAAATGAAAGCAGAATTGGAAGGTGGGGGTTGCTGTGTTCTGGGCTCTTACTGGGAAGAGGTCTGTCAAATCCAAGAACAGACTCTTGAGGAGATAGGAGGGGAAGACTCAGAAACCCTGCTCCTAGAGGCCTGAGAAAGAACCAAGCTACACTATGCCATGTACATGTGGCACCAGCTAAGGGGGCAAAACCTTTCTTGAACCAGCTGCTGGCAGTTTCCCCAACTAGTAAGCTTCAGACCCACTGAATTCACATGGAGTCTTGCCAGATGATGACCCCCTCCTGCCTGCTAGCCTATCCATGCCTTGTCTTCTCTATGAAAAAAAGTAGCATCTGGGGATCCCAGCCTGGGAGTATCTTGAGCTCTGAGTCTTCCCCCTCAACCAGCAGGGAACTTGTTGACATCATATTGGGTAAGCTCCCAGCTTGCTGCCCTCCTCAGTACCTGGTGTCCCCAGATAAGTGGCAGAGGACTCAGTCCTTCTTGGACCTACTCAAGCGATTCATTCCTGACTCTGGGGTTCAGAGGTTCCTTACCACACAGTGGACACCACATTGGCCATTACTAGAGCAGACCTCAGAAGTATCCACCTCCCCTGACCTCTCTGGAAGAATCTTGGCACTCTAGTCTGGGGACTGCTGCTGGTCCCCAGGACGCCACCCGTCTTTTGGGGAATACAGGGTATAACGCCCCGCCCCCAGGAGCCCATCTTACCTGCTACCTGTCTCACTGTTAGCCTTCCTCTGCTCTTTGAGGCCCATGCTACCTTCTTCGCCTGCTAGACACTGATCACACAATTTGGGTTCCTGGCTTGTGGCTCTTAGTCTTCTCTCTGCTGTTTTATTTTGACTTTGCTGCTCCTGTGGGCTGTCCATTCTGCCTCCTGGCTCTCACCTGTGACTCTGTCCAGCACTTACCCTAGGGAGCTCTGAATCCAGCCCAGCTGCAGCCTCCGGTCACCCAAACCTAGTCCTCTAGCTGGAGATCTGCTAGTTTGTCTCTTCCCTGCTCTGTCTGTACCTATGTTGAGGGGGTGGCCAGTGTCAGTCACCTGCCTCGAGACTCCAGCCCACTTCCAAAGGACTTGTGTCCAGTTATGCAACCCCCCTGTCTGCCCCCTCCCAGAGAAGATGTCCTCCCCCAAGCCCTCCCTCTTCCTTCTGTATGGAGCACCCACTTCCCTAGACCTCAAACCCATTTCCTACTTTAAAAATCTGAACTGTAGTTTTCTTCTAGAATCCTCGTGAGGATAGTTATGCAGAATCCCCAAACATCCTAACCCACATTCTCCATTGCTGTCCTCGATGGATGGTATGCTCATCACTATTTGTGAGTCATTGTGGATATTCTAAGTGGCTGATGACTGACTGGCCAGTGCTGTGTAGAATATTCATGTTGACATTTGTTGTGCAGGGTGTCTTTAAGAGGAGGGTCTCATGGGCCAAGGGCCATTCTCCACTGTCCTGCTTTGGCAGAATCAGGCCAAGTTTGCCTACTCAAACAATAAACTCTTACAAAAAAGAATCTGCTTGCCAGGTGACCACACACAGAGACAGGAAAGCAAGTCTCAAATCCACCTCCCACTAGTGACATGGCTCAGTGATTGAGTACTTGCGTAGCAAGAGTGAGATCTTAGGTTTGATTTCCACCTCTAGAAAGGAAAAAAAAAAAAAAAAGGAATCAGATCTCTCTCCCCAGTAGAGAGCTGGGGTTTTTACAAGCTGAGATGAGGGAAATAATGTGGACCTTAGATCTATGCATGTGTGATCAAACCCATGAACAATACCCAGACCTACATGTCTGTCATCACCATCTCTCATAAAACTGCTGATATCCAAATTCACTGAAGAGCAAAAAGACAAAGCAGATGAGGCTGGTCTGGAGGGCATACCATATTTCCTGTTTCACTGTCAGATCACTGGGGTCAGCAAAATTCTCTGGGTGGATATTAATCCAAAACTTGAATGTTTAAGAAGCTAGCAGCAGCTGGGAGGTGGTGGCACATGCCTTTAATCCCAGCACTCAGGAGGCAGAGGCAGGTGGATCTCTGTAATTTTGATGCCAGCCAGTTCAAGGACAGGCTCCAAAGCTACACAGAGAAACCCTGTCTCGAAAAAATAAAACAGAAGAAGAAGAAGAATAGGAAGAATAGGAAGAAGAGGAAGAAGAAGAAGAAGAAGAAGAAGAAGAAGAAGAAGAAGAAGAAGAAGAAGAAGAAGAAGAAGAAGAAGAAGAAGTAGTTAAGCAGCAGCAGATAGCAGCACACACCTTTAAAAACACTGCAGGAGGATCCATGTGCGTTGAGGCCAGCCTGGTCTACATAGTGAGCTCTGGGACAAAATAGAGAGACCTTGTCTTAAAAAAGGAGAAGAAGAAGCAGCAGCAAGCTAGTTAGTAGCTTATACCTGTAGGTCTAGCACTCAGAAGGCTGAAGCAAGGGGATTGCTTTGAGTCTGAAGTCACCCTAAGCTTCATCATTCTAGGCTAGTCTGCACAGTAAGATGGAGGCAGGGCAGGGAGAGAGAGAGAGCACTTTGCTTGCTACCCTTCCATCCAGCTAAGCCCACCAGCCTACCATGTGACCTTAAATATACCAGGAAGTTAATTATCTTCAAAGCTCTTCTCAGGAAGCATGAACCTGCCCCCCATAATTGGGCCACATATCTCACTCCAAGATATCTCACTCCAACTCCTTTCTTAGTTGGAAGCCGTGCCAGGGTCTGTTCCCCTCTGAGGCTGTTTGCCTTCCCACTGTCTGATGTACAACAAGCCCAACACAAGTGCGAGCCCTGAGCTCCCAGTTGCACTGCTGTGTGGGATCTCACTGCCCATCAACCTTGCTCTGCCTGAATTCCTCCAGGGTAAATTACCCCCACAGTTCTATATCCTCTCCTGACTGCCTCCCTTTCTGGGAAGGCTCAAGAGCTTTCCTGGGGACCTTCGAGGGCTGACTGTACTGGGAGCCTTCTGCTCCCCCTGAGCCTTGCCTTCTTTGGGTTCCCCTACTTAGCATACCCCTGCCCTGAAGGTTGTTAGCTGTCTGCTAGTTCTGGCTCCCTTTCTGAATCCCTGTGGTCAATAAGAGGCTTGAGAATATGGGCAATGCTAGTGTCTGGTCCTCAACTTGGGATCCTGGTGTAGTCCTGGCAGCCAGAAGCATGGACCCAGGCTCTGAGCCTTGTGAATGTGCTGTCATGTATTTAACTTGCCCACATCTTGAGGGCTCTTGTACTATTTTCAGCCCCTGTGTTTAGTATTGGCCTTATCTTCTAGAAGTCAGTGCCAAACTCCCCACCAAAGAGGTTATCTTAATTCCAACCCTTACTGTATGCATGACTCCATTCTGGAAGGTATCTGAGTGATCAAGACTGTCTGTGGGCCCTCTCCAGTTCCTGACCTCTCTCTGTGCCTCACAGGCCTGAGTGCCAGGCATGGACAGGGATGCTACTCCTGGGCACCTGCCTGCTGTACTGCGCTCGAGTCACCATGCCCGTCTGCACCGTTGCCATGAGCCAGGACTTCGGCTGGAACAAGAAGGAGGCTGGTATCGTGCTCAGCAGCTTCTTCTGGGGCTACTGCCTGACTCAGGTGGTGGGCGGCCACCTTGGGGATCGGTAACCAACCCCCCTCTCCCCACTGCTCAGGCTTGAAGGGGGGCCATCACCTGGGTGCCTCAGAGAGGCAGTATGGTCAGTCCTGCCCTTGCACACAGGAGAGGAGGGGCCGATGGGGGAGGAGCTCAACAAGTATCTGGGAAGAGGCTTAACCTGTAGGAAGAGGAGGTCCGGTGTGGCAGCTCTGGGCAGTGGGTACAGAAACATGAAACAGACAGGCTAAACTGAGTCCCATACACAGCACTCAGCCCCTCCTCTATTGGGCAGGCCGTGCAGTGCCCACCACAAGGCTCTGTACAGTGGTTAGTGGTGGTGCTCCCTCAGCCCTCTCAAAAAGTACTTCATCCTGTCCCCGTGTCTCCTCCAGCATCGGAGGAGAGAAGGTCATCCTGCTGTCAGCCTCCACCTGGGGCTTCATTACTGTCGTCACACCACTGCTTGCCCACCTTGGCAGTGGCCACCTGGCCTTCATGACATTCTCTCGAATCCTTACGGGTCTGCTCCAAGGTGAGGGCCATCTCCAGCTTCCTCCTGATGTTGCCATTCAACCTTGCCAGATAAGGGTGGAGAGAGCCCTGTGCATACCCACCCGTGTGCCTATATCCTTTGCTCAAAAGTCTGTTCTATATAACTAAGATATTTATTTGAATGACTATTCACTAGGACAGGGATGGGGGAGGGTGTTGCCATATCTTTGTTATCTGTGGGCAGAGAGAGAGAGAGAGAGATGATGGAGTTACCCAACCCCATGGCTCTCCTTCACAGGGTGGTGGGTCTTTGGCCTCTGCTGAGGTCCCAGGTCTCATGCTCTCAAGGAACAAGAACTGCCTTCTAAGGAGCCCCATTTATTGACATGGTGATAAAAAGTTCCAAAGGGGAAGCCGGCTGATGGTTCCTGCCTCCCCATTGTGAGTAATAACAACAGGGAATCTGTGGGTTCCTATTACCACACCCACAAAGGGACCTTTCGAGGAGTCTCTCCAGACTGGGGTTTAGAACCCTCTAGAATGAAGAGAATACTCAAGCTTTTTTATTTATTTTGAGACAAGGTCTCACTATGTGTAGCTCTGGCTGGCCTGAAACTCACTATGTAGACCAGACTGGCCTCAAAGTTTTAGAGATCTGCCTGCCTCTGCCTCCTGAGTACTGGGATTAGAATTGTGTATCCTGATATTTCCAAGCTTTTAAGCTGCCTACAAACCAAAGGAGGAAACTCTCCAAAGAAGAGTAGGTAGAGTTTCTTTCCTGGAAGGGTATATTGTGTACATGGCACACGTATGGAAGTGTCTGAGGGTGCCAGAGCACAGGTGAGAATCTTCTGTGTAGTCTGTGTGTGCACACATAAATGTTTTAGTGGGAGGGCTAGCAAGTGTCTCCAGGGAGCCGATGTGGGGCATATAAGTGTGTGTGTGTGTGTGTGTGTATGTGTGTGTGTGTGTGTGTGTGCACAATAGCCTGGGGGCCGGGTAGTATGCCTGGGGCAGAGGTGTTTTGAAGTAGAGTGCTCTCCAAGGGATGTTTTACATCACTCTGTAGAACTCTCACCCTGAATTAATTTGGTTCCTTACCTAAATGTTGCCAAAAGCCCAGCCCTGCTGGTCCCTTACAGCCCAGTGAGGTAATGGAAAGGAGACACGGACGTCTTCTGGATTCACAGCCCGAACTCAAGTGGTGTCCTGACCCTCACCGGCTTTCTCTGGGAACCCGGTTACAGCATTCTCTGCTTGTTTTAGGTGTTTACTTCCCGGCCCTGACCAGTCTGCTGTCCCAGAGAGTTCAGGAGAGTGAAAGGGCCTTTACCTACAGCACTGTGGGTGCCGGCTCCCAGTTCGGGTAAGGCCCTACCTCCCAAGGGTTCAGGAAGCTTCCACCTGAGCCCTGAAGGTCCATTCCTCAAGTCCAGCCGTGATGGTCAGGGTAGAGGTACTTGAGAACTCTGTTGGCTAGTGCTAGGTTCCAATGGCTGGTTGCTGTCCCTCAATTCTGTGAGAAGTGCTACATTTGTTGCCACCACAGAACAACTGACAAGAAGCAAATTAAGAAGACAGGATTTACTTTAGCTCGTAGTTTGAGGGTACAGTCTATCATGCAGGGAAATCATGACAGCAGGAATATGAGGCAGCTGGACACATTGCATTACTGCCAGAGCTGAGAGATACATGTTGATACTACTCAGTTCACTCTCTCCTTTTGGAGGGGGGATTGGTTTTTGTTTGTTTTGAAACAAAGTCTCACTGTGTGCCCTGGCTGGCCTGGAACTCACAGAGACGTCCCTTGCCTCCACCTCCTGAGACCTGGAATTAAAGGTGTCTGCCACCACAACAGCTCAGGCCAGGACCTCAGCCTATGGTTTGGTGCTGCCAACACTCAGGATAGTTCTTCCTTCCTCTCCACAGTTTAACCTTTCTGGAAATACCTTTATAGACACATCCAGAGGTGTGTTTCTATGATGATTCTAAATCTTGTCAAGTTGACAATAAAAGTTAACCATCACAGCATGTCTCTGCCTTTCTGGATGCTGTAAGCTGGGGCTCTGGCATGTGGAGTGGGTGAGCACTTGCTTTACCCTAGGGGAGCCAGAGGCTGCCCCACCCTCTGTGAGATATCCCTATGTAAGCATGCATGGAGGAAGGGCCACTAACTAGTATGTTGGGTGGACTCCTGGGAGGCTAATGGGGACTTTCTGAATCATCCAGGCTTGGGTCTACTGTTGCTGAGTTCAGGATGGGGAGTGGAGAAAGTGGGAACACAGAGGCCACTCTGCTGATTAGGGTGGTCTGATTTAACACTAAAAGCACAGTTTATATCGTGAAGTGTGAGTGTCAAAGAAACAATGGGGCTCAAATTCTACAGAGGGGTCCAGTGTACACCTTCAATCCCAGTCCTGGTGTCCTGCACAGCAGACAGGGTTCTATGCATGGCCAGGAGGGCTGGGGAGGGAAAGTGCTGCCTCCACCAAGGGTAGACTACTGCCCAGGTGCTGTGCCTGGGGCACAGATGAACGCACAGGAAGAAGAAAGGCAGCTCAGCCTCACACCAGAGCCCAGTGTTCTCTCTCTCTTGGATGAGTGCACAGGGTGATAGGTGGAGGTTGGAGGGTGAGGCAAAAGTACCATTTATTGCCTCTGGGACCATAGCACCCTGGAGCCAAAGGGAAGAGGAGGCTGTGGGCGTGGTGCTAGCAGTCATGCTTTCGCCCTTAGAAGTTTTTCTGGAATATTATCCTCCATAACACATGGAGAAAAAGAAAGAGGGAAGGAGTATTTTCATTTCAATGTTTCCTAAGCTATCCTTTTATCCTTACCTTTTTTCTCCCAAGCATTCACATGACAAATTGTACACCAATTTGAAGGTCTAGAAGAAAGAAATTAGAAATGCTGCGGCAGCAGTTCCCTGCTGAGTCTCCTTAGCTGCTCCCAGATTCCCTTTGCCTAACTGTCCCACCTCCAGTCTCTGAAGAGCAAAATAGATGAGGCAGGCCATCTGAATAGCTTCTTGCCCTGGGGGCTTGACTCATTGTGGACAGTCACCGAGGTCACTGCGGCACTCCTCTGTATCCCCCAGGACCCTGGTGACTGGGGGCGTAGGATCGGTGCTCCTGGACTGGTGTGGCTGGCAGAGTGTCTTCTACTTCTCCGGTGGTCTCACCTTGCTCTGGGTGTACTACGTGTACAGGTACCTGCTGAATGAGAAAGGTAACTGCAGCCACGCGGGCCAGTCCGTGTGCCCCCTCCCCTCCCCGCAGTGCCGCAAACATCTGTTGCATGAACTTTTCCTGGGAAGAGTGAATAAACATGTACTCCTCCCAGACAGAGCACCACCACCAACAGATCAAAGAAATGATTCCACTCAAATCTAGCTTGTTTTCACCCCAGCATGGGTGGAGTCCCCTTCTTACCTTAATCTCCCAAGCCACTTGTAGCTGGGGCAATATTACAAAAAACATGGGCGGTGGTAGTGCATGCCTACAATCCCAGCATTTGGGAGGCAGAAGCAGGCATATCTCTGAGTTTGAGGCTAGCCTGGTCTACAGGATGGCCAGGGCTACACAGGGAAACCCCATCCTGGGGTCTGGGTGGGAGTAAGGGGGGAGCACAGGCAAGAGTGGCTGGAATCTCAGGTGAGGGTCTAATATCAGCAGGCTCCATATTGAGGGTATCTTTGTGGGTAATCATAGCTGCCTGGTGAAGATAGTAATGACCAGCTCAAAAACCTAAGTGCTGATCCCTTAGCCTGCCAGCCCCAGCCCTGGACTCTCATCATATGGTTCCATCGAGGCTAAGGCTGACATAGGGAATCTAGCAGGTGAAGGCAGGTGGTAGGACTAGGCTGAGTCTTCAGGTAGCAAGAAGAGGCCTCAGAGGGGCTCCAGGCACAGGCACGAGTTAGACATAGAACTGTACTCTCATGGGTGGTCCCTCCTGATAGCCACTCCTTAGAAGGGTGTTGCCTCCTGATAGCCACTCCTTAGAAGGGATGGTAAGATGCACCCTGACTCCTCTGCCTAGCAGCTCCTAAATGGCTGCTGTGTTAGGGACAGAGATGGGGTGCCTGGTCCTGAAAGCTATCACTGTGAAATCATTTGTTCCCCCAGACCTTATTCTGGCCCTGGGTGTCCTGGCACAAGGCCTGCCTATGGCCAGGCCCTCCAAAGTGCCCTGGAGACAACTCTTCCGGAAGCCCTCTGTCTGGTGAGCCAGGGTTGGCATGGCTAGGCAGAGCATGGGTGAGGACAGGGCATGGGGCAAAGCAGCCACTGTTGCATGGAGCTGGCTATGCTTGGCAGGACCCAGTCCTAACACTCCAGCAAATGCCCCATGTTTCAGAGGGTAGGGCCTTGGTGTCCTGGGGGAAGGACTGGGTCCCACATAGAATCAGTGTCAGGAGCGACCGGCAGCTGGGTAGAATCCTGAGCCTGGTGCCCCCACACACAGGGCGGCAGTCTGCTCCCAGCTGTCCTCGGCTTGCTCCTTCTTCATTCTGCTCTCCTGGCTGCCCACCTTCTTCAAGGAGACCTTCCCCCACTCCAAGGTAGGTAATGCTGCCTGGGTCCTCACAGGGTCAAGAGGGCAAAGCTTGGGGTGTAAAGGCCCTTGTGTGTGGGTGGTAACACCCTTTGCTTGGTAAGTCCATCACCGTATGGGCTTCAGGCCTTGAGATGACAGTCCATTTGGGAACAGACATTCGTTCACGGCTATGAGAGCTACCACTGTAATAGCTGTAGCTACCTCAGCCCAAGAGAGCCCCCTCTCTCAGGGCTGGCTAGTTAAGCTGCTGATGGCACATCCAAGCGAGACCTGTGAACACCGGAGTTCTTGGGCTATAAATTCCCAGGCAGACTGGCCTGGCTCTAGCCCTATAACAATAAGGTGAGCATGTGGGGAATGTGGCTTCTGGAGCTAGCCATTAGAGGGCTCAGTACTTGCCTAGGGGGCTGGTAATGGGCTGTCAAGGCCTGTCCTCCTGGGAACCTCTGCTCTTAGGCCCAGCCTGTGGGTGGGCAGAGCTCAACTGACATGGTGAACCTAGGGTGGTCCTCTTGCCTGGGTGTCATCCAGAGGCTAGGTGCCACCCTGGCCACCTTTGAGGTATCACCTCTCCCTACAGGGCTGGGTCTTCAATGTAGTGCCCTGGCTGCTGGCAATTCCTGCTAGTCTATTCAGTGGCTTCCTTTCTGATCGCCTCATCAGTCAGGGTGAGTGTTGGGGAAAATTGTCGCGGGTAATCCACAGCCTCAGGGATCTCACTCCCCTCTGGCAATGCAGCTGCCTCACTGGGGAAAGGCCATACCACCATCCTGTGACAGACGACAGACCATCATTTAGAGTCAGCTCAAGGAATGGATGTAGCCTGGGGCTGAGGAGTCCCTTGTATCTTCCGAGGTGTCCTCTTTAATGGGTAGGGTTGGGGACAGTAAGAGGATCCTAGTGAACATAATCCTGAACCTCTCCACGGAAAGGAAGGCATCTGGTGCGTCAACTGTCACAGGTACCCAGCTCTGCTCTTGAATCTTCCAGAATTCCAGGGGCTATACTGCAGCCCCACGGGGCCATATTGCAGCCCTGTGGGGAATGCCCTTACAGACTCAGGTGTAGAGGACTGGCACATGTGTGCTCATTTGCAGGATATAGGTTCTCCTCAATAGAAAGTAGCACATATTCATTGTGGTAAGATCAGGTAATTTGAAGAAACTCAGAGGAACTGGACTAAGCTTGCCTGATAGCTGACACTTTTGTAACGGCCCATGGGGCTGTCCTTCCATGTTCCTACCCAAACTGCACCACAGGAAACCCTCTGACACACATACTGAGCATGGGAGGGTTCAAACCATGAAGGAAATCTCCTGTCTGGAACCCTGAGGTGTTGCCCTGAGCACCCGTATTCCTCTTCTGTGATTTTTGGGGGGACCCCATTGAGGACACATTTAAGAGTCACCCAGATAAGCTGATGGAAACTCATCCTGGGTCTTTCTCCTTGCTCAGGTTACAGAGTCATCACAGTGCGTAAGTTCATGCAGGTAGGAAAATCATTTGAATCCCTTGTCCTATTTTTCTATTGCTATGATAAGGCACTGTGACTAAAGCAACTTACAGAAGAAAGAGTTTATTTAGAGCTTCTAGTTTTAGAGGGTTAGAGTCCGAGACCATCATGGTGGGCAGCATGGCAGCAGACAGGCATGGCCCTGGAGCAGTAGCTGAGAGCTCACATTTTGAGACACAACCACAAAGCAGAGAAAGAAACACTGGGAATGGTGTGGTTTTTTTGAAACCTTAAAGTCCACCTCTAGTGACACACCTCCTCCAACAAGGCCACATCTAATCCTTCCCAAACAGTTCCACCAACTGGAGGCCAAGTATTCAAATATTTGAATCTAAGGGGACCATTCTAATTCAAATAACCACATCCTTCTATGGACATCCTTACTTCGTTCTGGTCTCCTGGGACCTGAGGGTGTGTACTCAAATCTCCTGACTTCTTGAACCAGGCTGAGATCAAAGATACGAGCTGGGAAAGTTGTATCAGGTTTCATGGTCTCAGAAGCAGCACTTGCTCTTAGGCATTGGCAGGTTCAGCTCAGATTCAAAAATCTGGGATATCAAACCATCAGAGGTCAATCTACATCAATAGGGCCCAGAAAGGGGCTTCTGTAGGTGGCCCCTGGAAGATGCTCTGGGGTCATTATTGGCTATCTGAGAACCTTTTCTGAGTTCTGAACATGGTCTGTGTTCTATGTGTTCAGGGCACATAGGGTAGGGAAGCCCCAGCCTGGTAGGAGTTTTTAGGGAGAACCAACCTGATCTTGTTCAGAACACTAGGGATCCTTTGGGTGGGGCCAAGACAGGATAAGCCATATTGGCCAGCATGGCTCCTGGCCCCTCACCAGTCCTGTCCTGCAGGTGATGGGCCTTGGTCTATCAAGCATTTTTGCCTTGTGTCTGGGTCATACCACAAGCTTCCTCAAGGCTATTATCTTTGCATCAGCTTCCGTTAGTTTCCAGACCTTCAACCACAGGTAAGAGTTCATGGTCTATTCCACGGGCTGCCAGGTTTTAGAGCATTCTGGCTCAGGGGCTTATGAAGATGGAGTTAGGGAAAGCTTACCATAATCTGTCACAGTGAGCAGATCTGAGTACTGAGCTAGGGTCATTCAAGAAAATAGGGATGCCCCCCCACACCCAGTACTGGGAGGAGGGCCTGGGAAGAGGAATGAATATAAACACCAGCTTGATGCCCCTCTGCAGTCTGTTCTCTTCCTTTTGCATCTTTTCTCTTATTCCAAGCAATAGCAATCTTAATGAAGCATCTTCGGGCGCATTAGGAACCCAGTTCAAAGCTGTTTCAAATTAACAGACAGCGAGCCTCCTGAAGCATGCTTTTCTGGCCTTGTGTACATTCTCAGGAGCAGCTTCTGGTGTTGTGTCAGCAAGAGAGTGGGAGAGCTGGGGTGTGGGGTAGATGGTGTCAGCAGGCCTAGCAGCACCTGGCAGGTAGGGGCAGGGGCAGGTCTGGGTATCTTTTGGTGACTTATAACCCTCATTATGTGCTAGCAGCCCCTTCAGGCCAAGCAGAGGTGGCCATGCCTGTGCCACTCACATGCCTTCCTGTTTCCTGCAGTGGTATTTCCGTCAATATTCAGGACCTGGCCCCATCCTGTGCTGGTTTTCTGTTTGGTGAGCCGCTTGCTTATCCTGCTTCATTCCTACCCTTGCCAGTGGGCTATCCCAGGTGGTTGGGCTGTAGAGCAACAGGGGGTCTTCTCATGGTGTCTCTCCCCACAATTTCCTGTTTGCAGGTGTGGCCAACACTGCAGGGGCCTTGGCAGGTAAGGGGCGGCTCCAGGCCCAGGCCTAGAGGTTCTCTTGTTCTTTGGTTGGGTCAATTAGTACATGAGCTTGGACTTGGAGTCAAGGTAGAGCACAAACCCCAAGATGGCCCAAGGGGGTCACAGCTGTGCCAGCTGAGCTGCCACTTGACTTGGGTAATGGTGGGAGACTCCCAAGCCATTCTCCCCTGACTGGTCCCTCCACCGAGTACCTGGGCTAACAGAGGTTCATTCTCTACCTTCTGCTTTGTTTCTCTTGGGTGGGATGTGGTGAGGGGACACCATCAATATGTAATTTGGAATGGCCTGTGAAGTCTGTGTCCTCTGAGACTCCTGAGACTGAGTCTTTTGTGGTCCACAGCTCAGATTTTGAAATTTATCTCAGGGTCTTCGGGGGAGTCTATAGTTTGCCCTGCTCTGCCCCTAGAGCTCACTGATATGTGGGGCCAGCTTCCCTGGAGCATCAGTCAGTCTCTGCCTCTCTTGTCCAGGTGTGATAGGCGTGTGTCTGGGTGGCTACCTGATTGAGGCCACTGGCTCCTGGACGTGTGTTTTCAACTTGGTGGCCATCATCAGCAACCTGGGACTGGGCACCTTTCTGGTGTTTGGGAAGGCCCAGAGGGTGGACCTGACCCCTACTCATGAGGACCTCTAGCTCCCTGACTATCCACTCCCACCCAGGACCCTGATGTCAGCAGCCTAAGGACAGCAGTTCTGTTGGTGAAACTCTGAATCTGCATCTCAGATGTATGAGCAGACAACAAAGACCATGGTCTCTTGGGGAATCCTAAAGAATTGGAGAGATAGGTGGAGACAGACACATGAACCCACACAGGCCCATGTCAGGAGTAGAGTCACGGCCTCTCTGAGCTTCAGTGTCCCCATCTGCTAGTCAGGACCATCCTGCCCTCCTCTCAGATGCAGTGGGACGGCTGCCTGCTCTCATGAAAGCTGCACTACTGATGGGAGTCGTTCACAGCTCCAGCCTATGTGGGTGGTTTCTCTGATAAGTTTTCTCTGTGTTGAAGATGTTTTGTATGCTGGAGGATGTTCAGGAGCAGCTCTGACCCCCACCTACTCCAGGCATCTTCCAACCCCCATCTCTCCAGTAGTGATAACCTGTCTATTGACATTCAGCTGAGTACCCATGATAAGACAGGCCCCCAAGAACCGCAGTGCTAGAGAAGCCATGGTTTCTGCCTCTCCCCCAAGTCAGGCTGCCACTCTAGCTGGACCAGTGTGCAGTGGGCCAGAGGTCCTTGCTTGCCTCCCCAGCCCCTCCCCAGCCCCCGCTCCCTTCCTGTGGATCCCTCAGCACTACTGATGTGTCCTGGGTAGGTAGGTGCCTGACACTCCTTGGGCTCCGGCTGGACACCCCAGCTGTCACAGACCCCAGAACTCAGAGAAACCTTCCCCACTTTCTGGCCTTGTTTTTCTACCTCCCCTTTTATACTTGTGGAGCTGTGGTTTGATGAACTGATGGTGAATTCTCCAAGATGCCTGTTTATATAGAGATTATCTTTATATATGGTGAATCTCACCAAAGCCTTATTTAAGTGAAAACTATTAAACTATTTCAAAGAAGATTGTTATTTTATTCACCACCTTTTGTTGCATTGACCTTTTACTGGGGAGACAAACAAACTTCTATTCACCCATAGTAAGATCACTGATCACACACAAAAAATGATTCTACATAGCCAGGCACAGGGGCACACACCATTAATCCTGGCACTTGGGAAGCTGGTGAATCTCTCTATGTATGAGTTGGAGGCCAGCCTGGTCTACATAGTGAGTTTCAGGACAGCCAGGACTATGTAGAGAGACCCTGTTTCAAAACAAAACACAAACCAAAAATGGTTCCACCCAAGTCTAACTTGGTTAAACTAATGAGGTTTTTTTTTTGTTTGTTTGTTTGTTTTTGTTTTTGTTTTTGTTTTTTGTTTTTTGTTTTTTGTTTTTTTTGAGACAGTCTCACTGTGTAGCTCTGGCTGTCCTGGGAACTCACTATGTAGACCAGGCTAGCCTAGAACTCACAGAGATCCTCTTGCCTCTGCCTCTCAAGTGCTGGGGTTAAAGTCCTGTGCCACCGTGCCCAGTTTACCAATGAGTTTAACTGGAGTTATTTACAGGAACACGGGCAACTTACAGACAGCTATACCACAAAGGAAAGTCTTCCTCACTGAGCCATCGGGGGAGGGGCCTGGTATGGCTAAACTGCCTCATGATCTCTCCCTCTCCTGTGAGGGCATGCTAATGGACTCAGTCTTGTGAGGGTCTCATGCTAGGAATCAGCTGTTCTCACTTCAAAATGACCACAACATGCCTGTACTTCTAAGAATGAACATGTGGAGACTGGATAGGAGGCTCAGTGGGTAAAATGCTTGGTGAACAAGTATGAGAACCTGAGTTTGGGTTTTCAGAACCTACAGATAAAAGCCAGATACTGTGGTGTACACATGTAACCCCAACAAATCCTGAGGAGTCACAGACCAGCCAGTCTAGCTTAAATGGTGAACTACATGTATAATGAGAGACCTTGTCTCAGAAAATAGAGAACTGTAGAAGAAAACACCCAGTGCCCACCTCTAGCCTCCAGATGCACTAGCATGGGAAAGCACACACACATGCAATTAATTTTTTAAAGAATGAACATGTGTTGAGGATGTTTATGATCCACTCACAAGGAAAACAGTCAGGTGCCAGTCAGAGGAGTTCCTCAGAGCACTGATGTGGATGTGAGGCCCAAACTGCTTTACTTAGTAGCCAGCAGTGCTTCCTCACCTGTCTAATACAACTGTCAGTAGTGTGCACACATGTCCAGAGTGAGATGCCCTGAGCCATACCACCAGATGTGCCGTAAAGTGGCATATGAGCATAAATGTTCCCCCAGGGTCTCTCAATTTTGATAAAAAAAAAAATCTTTTAAGACATTTATTATTTTTTTATTTATTTATTTATTTATTTATTTAGTTAGTTAGTTAGTTAGTTAGTTAGTTTTTCAAGACAGGGTTTCTCTGTGTAGTTTTGGTGCCTGTCCTGGAACTTACTCTGTAGATCAGGCTGGCCTCAAACTCACAGAGATCTGCTTGGCTCTACCTCCTGAGAGCTGGGATTACAGGCATGTGCCATCGCCACCCTGTTTGTTTTTATTTTTATGCATGTGTGTATGAATGTATACTATATGTGTGGGGGTGCCCATACAGGCCAGAAGAGGACATCTGATCCTCCAGAGCTGGTGTTATAGGCAGTTATAAGATGCCCAGAGTGGAAGAACAAAACTCAGGTAAGGTGATGTATTGTGTACCCTGATAAACTTGCTGAGGACCAGAGGACAGAGCCAGCCACGAGATTAGACACAGAAGTCAGGAAGTTGTGGTACACACCTTTAATCCCTGGAAGTGACATGGCTGGGCAGAGAAAGGTATATAAGGCCTGAGGACACAGGAACTCACTCTTTAGGCTGAAGATTTCATAGATGTAAGAACTAGTGGCTGGCTGCTCTGCTTCTCTGATCTTTCAGCTTTCACCCTGATATCTGGCTTTGGGTTTTTTTATTATAAGACCATCTAAGATTTGAACAACAGTTGGGTCGTCTAAAAAAGCATGTGCTTAGCCAATGAGCTCTCTCTCTAGCCTGGCCCTGTAGGATGGGACCTGAGCATTTCATCAGGGGGAGCTTCCTAAGAGCCTCAGGCTGTGCTTCCAGAAGCCTCCATGGTTGAGTTCCTGAGACTGGGGAGACGTATCCAAGAAGGCCCCTGTGCTGACTACTGTTTTTCGATTTAACACAGGTGAGAGTCATTTGGGGAGAAGGAGCCTCAATTGAGAAAATGCCTACAGGCGATCTGGATGGGCCCTGTGGAGCCATTTTCTCCATTAGCATTGATATGGGAAGGCCCCGCCCATTGTGGGTGATACCACCCCCAGGCAAATGATCCTGAGTTGTATAAGAAAGTAGATTGAACAAGTAAGTCATGAGGAGTAAACTAGTAACTGTAGCATGAATCTTCAAAGTTCTTATTAATAAAATCAAACCTGAAGCCAGTTATTGGGGTGAATGCTGGAAGATCAAAGAAGCAGAAAAGCCACAGCTTCCTCACCTTGCCAATTCCTCAGCTGATCCTGTTTCCTCAGACTGGATGCCTCTCAGCTGAACTGTGCTGCTAGAAGCCTAAAAGCTGCCGGACGGTGGTGGCACATGCCTTTAATTCCAGCACTCGGGAGGCAGAGCCAGGCGGGTCTCTGTGAGTTCGAGGCCAGCCTGGTCTACAAAGTGAGTTCCAGGAAAGGCGCAAAACTACACAGAGAAACCCTGTCTCAAAAAAAAACAAAAAAAGGCCGGGCAGTGGTGGCGCACGCCTTTAATCCCAGCACTCGGGAGGCAGAGCCAGGCGGATCTCTGTGAGTTCGAGGCCAGCCTGGGCTACCAAGTGAGT